AAGGCGGCTTTACATCATCTCTGTTTGGTTCTTGTCATTGACAGGTCAGGGTTCACCCTCTCCAGGGGAAAATGACAGTAATTGCCTACTGAAAGGAAGTGTGTGATGAAGCAGAAGAGCACCTGCGGCCTCCTTGCAGGTCTGCTTCATGCTGCCATTGCCATTGAAGAATTTCTGCTTCCTTCCTTTTGGTCCTCCAACTGGTATCAGAAACTCACTGTTCTCTGTCTCTAATAGATGGGACTTGGCAAAGTGTCACCTGTTAACAAACCTCATCAGAGTTTTTATTTGAATGAAGAACACTGGCTTATTAATTTATGCCCAGAATCATATCAGCCAATGAGCCAGACCATTCTTCTTCTTGTTGGTGGACTAAGAAAGGAGCCAAATCATGAGGTACTTCTTGGTGAGAGTGGAATCAGAATAAAGGGAGATGGTTGTATCTTACCAATGTTTAATTAAACACCTGCTCTAGTAGCATCATGCATCTTTTTCCAGGACTGTATGTGAAAGTAGGTATAAGTTCACAGATATTGTCCTGTATGCTAGATACTCTCTGGGAAGATGCATTGTTGGCCTCTCTAGTCTGTTCTTATAGCTTCTTTTTCTGGTCATCTTTCTAGTTTTTAGGTCCATTGATGAATATCAAATTTTAGTCATGGATTTTAGATCACAGATGACTTTGCATGGCTCGGTTAGATCTTTTTTTAAAGAAAATAATTTATTGAGAATTTCATACATGCATATAAGGTGTTTTGATCAAATCCATGCCTACTCCCCTCCAGTTCCTCCCATATCTCCCCATCACTTTTTTCTGATAACTTCAAGTATTCTTTCTTCTTCTTTCATTTATTTATTTATTTTATTTATTTTTTTGGTCTTTTTGAGACAGGGTCTCCCTGTAGCCCCAGCCGGCCTGGAACTCACTTTGTAGACCAGGCTGGCCTTGAACTCACAGAGATCCGCCTGCCTCTGCCTCCCAAGTGCTGGGACTACAGGTGTGCGCCACCACGCCCAGCACATTTATTTATTTTTATAGGGCTTTTGGCTACTCTAACATTCTCCCCTCTGAAGAGGTAACCCTAAGCTCTTTTAGGGATTAGATAAGAGCACCCAAATACTTTTGACATTTTGGCCTTTGGTTGCTAAGAGGCCCAAGGACATTTTGACTTTTAGCCAAGAAACTGGCTACTTTCCTTTGGGGTCTTTTTACTCTAACTGCCTAGCCAATTCCTACTTCCTATTCTTATCACACCATCCTCTGAAGAGGTTACCCAAATTGCCAATACGGAATAGGGACGCAGACCACTCTGGCTTCTTCCATCCTGAACAGGGACGT